TTTTTCTGTGCGACGGTTCCCCCTCGTGGTCACAAAGGTAATAAAATATCATCCCAATACAACAGTTAGTATTTATTTTGTAGACAGACTGTACATAAAGTCAGAACGCGTCTATCAATTACAATTCAATTAATATTTTTTTAATGTACTTTTAATTTTATGAAAACTGTTTAAGCGCGGTCATTCAATAAAGGGATAAAGATTTAATTGGTTCTCTTCCTGTGTGTTCCTTTTAACCTATCACAACCAATATTAGCGTGTGTACACTCAAATTAGTAACGTGACCTTTAATCAACGTATTATATATTTTTATACTTGGTCGTTTTGAAGCTTATTATTTATTTAAGTATTGATTATAGTTTATATGTTATTCCTGATACACTTTTTTAAGGAGAAAATTGAATGTTAGTGCTACCTGCATCCACTCGTGTTTTGTTGGGCTCATCAGGTTCAAGCTAGGCCTCGGTGGTCACGTGATTTGTGGCCTCACTGAGGCGGTGCCTTCTGCTCAGCGTGCTGCACGCAGTTGTCTCAGCAAACACCGTCACATTTGTAATTTGGGGTTCAAAAAATTCCATATAACATTTGGACGTGTGTTTAGCTGATAGAAACCGAAACGTCCTTGCTTTTTGCGGATTAATTAGATATAAATATTCTTTCAGAGACACGAACCGATATGTTCACTCATAAGAACTAATTCCGGTTCACTGGGAAGCTTTGAACTGCTTTCTGGAAAGTGACCATTGTTGTAATCAGGTCGAGGCTGTTATCATTTCCACTTGCTGACTTTCTTTGTGTTTTTTACGGATTTGCAGCAGAAAAACAGCGCAAGCTTTTTAGAGTGTCATGAAAGAAATGTCAAGGTAAGTTATGCATGTGACACATTTTTTCCTCATGAATGATTTTGCCCGCGTTTAAGACAATTCTGAAGAATAGGCTAAAGGCTAACGTTAGCAAACTGTCACAACAAGGCCTGCAGCCTTCGTTTGCTGGCTGTCTCGCTTTGTCGCTGGTGGGAAACTGCAGAGTAAATGTGTCAAAATACCCGCATAGTTTCCACTTGTTGGTTTTATTTGCGAAAATGACAACTTTTAAAATGTCTTTCTGTCGATTCGTTACTTAAACCAATTCTTCCGTAGCATCCGGCTAACGTTTTGCCAACTTGCTAAATTAGCCAAATTGTTAGCTTCCCGTCGTGTTTGTAGCATCTCTGCTAACGCTCGCACGCTGTAAGGAGAGGTTGAATAGTGGCACTTTTTAAATTTGCTGTCTTGGTCAACTCGCTTTCCAAGTTCGACATTGCACACAACTGTGGATTTAAAGCTTGCTGTGTGTGAGAGATGTGATTTAATCAGGTTGCTATCTGTGGAGTGTTTACACAGTATAGTGTTCGCGGCAACAGAACAAGCTAACTGCAAAACCCGACTGGTGTTTACTGAAGACTTGTTAACGAGTTGGGTAATGGTTCATGTCTTGTTCTTACTGAGCTTGAAACTTTAAAAGAAAGTGTGCTAAGTGGTGGTGTAGTATCTGCTTTTTGATCTGTTGTACCACGTTTATCGCAGCACCATGCCTAGTGGGCAGCAGCCTCAGAAACATTATGGCATCACCTCTGCGATTAGCCTCGCGCCCCCACGAGAAATAGACCACCACTACACCAAGAAGCTCTGCGATGCAATGAAACCTTTTGGAGTGTTTGAAGATGAAGAAGAACTCAACCATAGGTGAGGAATGCATGTTCTCTCTCTCGCCCTCTTTCTTTGTTAATAATATACCAATCACCACAATACAGTTTTTGAATATGTTGATTACAAACCTATGATTTGAAGAGCTATAAGCATTTAAACTAAGCCTCTCTGATATCTATTGTCTGCATTTTATTTGATGTGCACATTAACTAAGTGAATGTACATGGGCATGGTACATGGGCATGTAAACTCTTAGGACAGGTGACCTTGTGAAAATCATTTTCACTCTTTCAATGAATTTGTGGAAATGAAGGATTGTGAAAGAAGTGTCAGCTAAAAGTCTTTCTTTTCAGACTTGCAGTTCTTGGGAAGCTGAATAACTTTGTTAAAGAATGGATTGCAGAGATCAGTGAGTTAAAGGTAGGTTCTGCTTGGGAAGCTGAATGATTTCTAACCCTATTACCAATTTCCACCCCCAGAGTTCATTTTACGTTCATGCTGAAGTGAGATTTACGGTCCCAAAAATGTGTCTGCCTGTTTGCGCATCTCGGTTTGGGGGGTGTTCACTAAATCATATTTGCTTCCACATACTCCTCCAAAGTCCTGACTGCCTGTTGCTGGAAGTGGGTGATGTGTCATCCTACTCTTGATTAGTTGACAAGTGGGCCAGAATAGAGGAGGGAGCAACAGTGGAGTTCGCTGGGAACGGGTGAACTGTGGAAAAAGAATTCAAAGATAAAAAGAAAAAAAATATACAGCATGAAATACACAGACCCTAGCTACTGTAGGCACTACTTTTTTTTTAACATTTGGTTTTACTTCAGCTCTTTGTGCATTAGAAGTTTGATCTTCTCTGTGTCTGGAGGAACAACAATATTACAAGCAAGAGTGGCCCACAGATCAATTCTACCACATACTCTGTACACTACCTCCACTACGCTGATGACAAGCCTGTCTGCAGGCCTGGAGTGGACAGTGACCGCACCACCACCACTGGGCCATAAATCCCATTTAAGACTAGGGCTTTTTCTACTGTCTGATGCTTGTGCTTGTTTTTGTTTTGTTTTTTTAACTGTTTATTGAGTTAGGCAGAAAATTTTGCAGAGTTTTACAGAATTTTACACTCTTCGTAGCGGTGTGACATTAATTATTGGATTAACAGGGGAAAAGCCCTTGATGATGAGCTTTATCAACAATGCATGAGGATCACTGCAGATGTCCACGTGTTTAGCACTTTATTTGTGACCCCACAGAAACACTGCTACAGAGGCACCAACTACGCAAGCACCCTTTAAAGAATAAATAACAGGTGTCTATTGAACCAGCAGAATATAATCTTTGCTTTAAAGTTTCCTCGTCCACGAATATGCAGAGCCATATGAGGACATCCACATGCCTGCCAATTTTTGCGACTACTCAGCTGCACTACAAAATAATAAATACCTGTGCAGTAAAGCACAAATGGTCTTTGGTGTCTGCAGCTCTCTACGTTTCCAACCAAGTGTATTCCCTGTCTTGGGCGAAGATGATGGGGCTTAGTGCTTTATGAAGTGTTTAATCTTAAACTGTCTAATCAGACACTAAAGTGACACTAACACTTTCTTCTGTTTTGTTAAAAGTCATACTGACTTCAGTTTCTTATCTCTGCTCTACAGAACCTTCCACCATCAGCTATTAGCTGTGTTGGGGGCAAGATATTTACATTTGGTTCATACCGACTTGGAGTGCACACAAAAGGTATGTTTATCTGTTACTCTAATAATTTAACATCTTGTCAACGTGAAACCTGTAGTGTATGATTGGCTGGTTCTTTTGGCACAAAAAGAGCGTGTTAGCTGAGCATTATTACCACCTATTGCAGAACCCTGTACAAGCAGGTGTGCAACATTGCTTTTGAAAAGCTCAGCTCTCCCTGACCGCACTGAAACACAAGGCTGTCATTGTCATGTTCCTGTGCTATTGAGTGGTTTTGAAAAGGCTAGTTTTGGGGTCAGAAAACTGGGTAAACAAACACTGGTGTGAATGTGGTTTGAGTCTGCCATTGTTTTAAACAGCTGGCCAGTGTGACAAAAGGGTAAAAT